ATATTTTTTGAGACCCCCCAAAATTTCACAAATCACGTTTTCAGGGGAGCCCATGTCTTATTAAGGGGAGCCGAGCTCTCCCTAGCTCCCCCGTAGTTCGCACCCTGGTCCAGGGTCACATATTTGGTCAAAATCCCATGTTATAAAAGACGAAGTGTTATGCAGGCTATTTAAGACAATATTGGCTGACTAGACGGCAATGCTGACCAAATTAGAAAACATTATTATAAGCTTACCGTTGTGAATCGCGGTAAAGTAAGGCAATAGTTTTGAACACTGGCTGGTTATGTACTTGCTCAAATATTGATTACAGATCATTTTTAACCAAAGAAAGTTACAGACTGCAGCTTTAAGTAAAAAAACGATAAAGTTTGCAAATTTTCTTCATTTGAATCAGCGAGTTGTTTACTGGAGACTCGCTCTAACCGGATCATTTGAATCAGTTTGTACTGGAGAGAAAAGAAGCAGCACATTGATCTGCCAGCCGCGGGTATTTCATGCCGAGAACTCTGCTCATATTTTATGCATAATGATGCACTTAAAAGTTAACGACCAAACGGATGTTTATAAAAGTTTACATTGCTGTTGCAGATTAAATATAACACAGTTAACATTAAATAAATATTTTTTACCAGGTTAAATGTTGAATATTAGTAACTCAAACCCCTTTTTCGAAACCTCTCTACCTAACCGTCGGTCGCGCACATCCGCCATGTTTGTAGTTTTTAACACGTTTTATTCGTGTTTGTAGTTCTGGACAGAATCCTTCACCAAAGCGCAGTGGATTGTGGGCAATATTATCCATTAAAGCAGTGGTCACCAACGTTTTTAGGCCCAAGATCCCTGACCTCGGCCTTTATGAAAGACAAGATCTACCTATTGAAGAATTGATAGAAAAAGACATCCCAGATTGTACTTCAAATTTGAGGCCTTGGGACAGTGATAAAGATCTACCAGTCGATCGCGATCCACGTGTTGGCGACCACTGCATTAGAGTGTGCACGGATCCACACTTCAAAAATCGACTTGAAATAGTAGACCATCCGGGGAGCTTTGGCATACTCTTTTCAACATACTATGCTTTGGAACACACTTATTCTAATCTCACATACTATTTAGGATGGATAGGATGAACATTGAGACGCAGGGAGTGAGTTGTTTACTGAAGATTTGCTCTGACCGGATCATTTGAATCAGCGAGTTGTTTACAGGAGAACAGCTGCAATCCAATCAGTCCAATTAGCGAATGAATCGCTCGGTGTGATTTGCGAACCAATTTAACAGGTTCATTAAAAAGAATCAGCCCGTTCAAGAATCGGACACTCTGTTGAAGTACAGATCCTTGAATAATGTACTTAAGTACAGTAACGAAGTTACAAAAATACTTCGTTACTGTCCCGCACATCCTTTGTAGTAGTAATATATTACGTGTTATGTTGTAAAGCTTAATCATTTAAACAACACAAAAACTTAATTAAATATCTTACTTCCGGGGATTTTCAACAAGTTGGAGGTTATCCCAACTTTAAGAAGTTATTCACGATATTTTCAGGAATGAGTTTGTATTCTAACAATCTCAAGAACAAAACTAAAGCATTTTTAAGAAATGAAGAGTTCATTTGCAAAAACGGATAACTTAAGATGCTCATAACTCATATTCTCAGAAATCATGTTTTTGACTAGGTTAAAAAAATAACTTTAAAAAAATCAGCTAACTAACACAATAAAACATGATAACATAATAATATTCTCAGAAATCATGTTTTTGACTAGGTTAAAAAAATAACTTAAAAAAAATCAGCTAACTAACACAATAAAACATGATAACATAATAAAAAACATGATTTTTGAACATTTAAAAAAACGGAGTTATCTGTTTTTGCAAATAAACTCTTCAAATGTTTTTAGGACTACAAATTATTCCTAACTTTACTCTTAAATTAGAAAATAAGAAGAAAATAGCAGTTATGAAGAATTTTATTCTTACGAATGTTTCGTGAATCCGGCCCCTGGTGTTTCACTGCATTCATGCACACAATGGACACGTCTGCGATTCATTACAGAGCTCAGACCCCAATACAATCTGGATTGTTTTTGGATTAGATACCTGATGCACACAAACGTTGCACTTGTCGCAGAAGACCATCTCGTTGCCGTCCTCCCCCTCAGGTGAGCGGCACACGTCACAAACCACGTCCTCGTCGTATTCGATGCCCAGACCCTCCTCGGTCTCGATGGCCTGCTGCATGTTCTGCTGACACCTGTTCTCCAGCTCCACCACGACCTGCTCCATGGTGAGCTCGTCCAGCTCTGGAAGTGCTGAGACACACAAAGGAAACTGACTTGTATTTGTATAGTAGGGCCCTATGATTTCCGTGATGTGGAAAACATGGAGGGAATCACAAAATCACAGTCATAAAAATGGCATTTACTGTATAATGCAGAATGGCATGGAATTTGTCAAATTTTGAATGAGTAAATCAAAAGTAGGTCAGCACACTTAAATCAAATGGCGATATGGACTAGTGTCTTTGAATATTAAAATGCAAAATGGCAACTCGTCAAAATAAGAATTCGGTTTAACTTGAAGAAATTGTGACAGAAATATATTAATACTGTACAGTAGAATGTACGTCTTGCTACTACTAATTAAATTATTATTAAAACTTTTGTTTTTAATAAATAATCACACAAATTTTATTACGTTTTAAACAAATTTAGCAGTAAAGCTCTGTTATGCAGCACTTTATTTGAGAGGTTTGTTTAATTTAACTTTGTTTAATATTTTATGCCATCATTTGATTATCAGAAAAATTAAATAACACAATTTCTGGGGGGGGGGGCGGTAAAAAAATATGGAAAAAATAGGGGGGGCGGTAAAATAATATGGAAAACATAGAATTTTGTTAAATAAATAAATACATACAACTGAATTTGAGAAGAAAAAAAAAGTATTTCATTGGGCTGTAAAGAAAATTTATTTTTGTTAAACTATTCATAAATTACTCTTAACTTTTAATGATTTCAATTAATTAGACATGCTTTTGATTAATACAATTTAATTTAACCATTAAAACAGAGTCCAGAAAAATTAAAATGTGAAACAAAAAAAATGGGAAAATAAATTAAACCCTAAAAAAGTTTTTTTATGAAAATAAATAAGATTTCATAGGGCCCTACTTGATGAACGAGTAGGGCTGGGTATCGATTCAGATATCCCGATTCGATTCGATTCGATTTCGATTCGCAAGCTCTCGATTCGATTCTGGATATTTTTTTATTACATTCATTGAATATAGTTTTAATACAAATGCTATTAATATTTCTAAAAAATGAACAGTAAACATCAGTTTACAAATAGTGAATTAATAAAAAGAAATTAAGAACCACATGCCTGTATTTTAAACCTATTCTTTTTTTTTTTTGTATAGGGTCCTTTTTAAACAATAGTAGGGCCCTATAAAATGTTCTTAATTTTTCTGGTAATCAGATGAAGGCATAAAACATTCATTTAATTTATAATGAAAATTAAACCCTTTTATTTTTTTGGCAAACAAAGTGCTGCACAACAGAGGTTTACTGTTAAAATTAAAAATAAAACAGATGTGATTATTCCTTTAAAAATAAAGATTTATTAATATTTATTAGCAGTAGTAGCATTGAGTCTTAAGTCTGCTAAATAGTAATATATTCTGACAGTTTAACGTTAAACTAAACTTTTATTTTGACGGGTTGCCGTGAAGAACTTGCAGCTGCTGTGAATGTGATAATGACGGTAGTTTTCTCAAATGAAACGGTAAAATGCTAATGAAGTGACTCTCAGAGCACTGCTTCAATATCAAATGCTTCCGCAGATTTATAGTATTACTGTAGCATTTCACCTGAGCATTGCGAATCACGCGTATGGCCATGATAAGCGCTGAATGAATGACAGGCTTTCTGTTGTAACATCGCGCAAGGTAAATAAGGGTGACATCTAGTGGAGAAGACTAATGATAAGATTCACGTTAATCATATCTTGTTTTAAATGTGTGCTGAAATAAATCCCGGAAAAGATCGATTCGCGGCTTTTGAGAATCAATATCGAATCGATGTCATTTAAAAAAAACGATTAATCGAAAAATCTATTTTTTTTTTTGCCCAGCCCTATGAACGAGAGAAGAGGGATGAAAGTCTGACATATCATAACTTCTGCTCAAACGTTATAGAAATTACATTTACATCTGGGCTCGGCGCTTAATTATTTCTAGGGGAAAAAAACTCAGAATTGCGAGAAAAAAGTTGCAATTACATTTTTTTTTTTTTATTCCATACGTTTAAAATCAAACTAAAAACAGAAAATACAAAAATAAAAACTAATTTTAAATATTAATAAAAACTATAATAGTATCTCAATGATACAAAAATAACACCAATAGCTCAACAAAACATTACTAATTTAACTAAATAAAAAAAAATACAACTTCAACTCTATTATTGGCCTGTTTGCTATAACAAACTTGAATCATCAAAGAAACATGAGTCAGACAGCTGATCTTACCTAGTTGTCTGAATTCAGCATTAACCAGTTCAAGCCAGGACACATCCAGATCATCAAGATTGTAACAACTCAATGGCTCAGTGAGACCATGTGACTCTCCAAAGCCAAACTCTGACTGGCCCCTGGTTTGGATCGCTGAAAAGAACGGGATTCGATTGACCTCCGGAAGCATCCTGGGAAAAAAATTGCACACTTGAATGACCACAAAACTCATTTTTCATGCATCAAGTATTCAAAGGAATGTTTCAGCTTCAAGTAAAGCTCAATGGACAGGATTTGTCTCATAATGTTGATAGCCAGAGGAAATCATTGCAACTTGTCCTTTGTGCAGTGACTTATGATCTGTGTCGATGCACGCTGAAATCAGTCATGTTTTCTGATCAGATGGTTCTTTCCTCAATTCATGTAACCGGTTGAAGATGAAACTCTTGTTATAGTGAAACCGATATTAAAATATTGAAACCGATATTGAAACCGATATGACCGATATTACAGCACAAATGCAACGTGGCCCACTGTGGTTTCAATGCGCATTTCGGACTTTGTTGATACCTGCATTTAGTGCTGTTCATTTGAGATCTGAATACCAGATGTAAATGATGCACTGCCATACCTTCATCAATAATTCTGAATTCATTTATGTCGTGCAGTGCATATTCAATACACAACCTCACTTACTGACAGGCAGCTGCTGCTAAAGCAAAGGCATGTGAGCAATTCACTAATAATTAGAAATGAACATAAATACAGTCAGTTCCTAACTAAATCATGTAACAAAATTAAATACTTAAAGCATTACAGCAGGTATTACTTTGGAAAATGAAATTGGTATTGAGAATCAAATGTCAATAGTATTGATAGCGGCTTCTGGGATATTGGTATTGTGATGACACTAACTCCTAGTATGAGCTGATGAAGGAAAACAAAACCTAAAAAGCAAGAATGAATGAATGAATGAACAAATGAACGAACGAACGAAGCTATTAATTCTGAACACCAAGCTGGTTCATCAAGCACAACCCATGAATGACAGAGACAGCAGATGGATGTTGAAATGTGAAATACTGAGAGATCCAAATGTGATTTCCATGTCTTTATTACTTTTGTAAAATTAGTTTAATAATAGTAATACATCAATATGGGTCATGCACTGAGAAATTACATTTTCCCTAAACTTTTGACATATAAGAGAACACTGTAAAAACTAGAGATGCGCGATATTGGATTTTTGATAACCAAATATCCGAAATGATGCTATTTTTCAACTCATTTTTGCTGATATGGACATATTTTCTTTTGTTTGGAAACAACACCAAGTCTCTCCTGAGCAGAGATTATAAACAAATTATTTTTATTTTGGTTCATTTCGAGCAAAAACTTACCCTAAACTTAGTAAACAACAAAATTTATTTAGAACTAAATAAACAACAATCAAGTTTGTTTTATAATGAAAGTACATTGAAAGCTGTGCAACATACTCCCATTCTCATTATGTCACTGAAGTGCACATCATTTTTTGGCATAAGCTTTTCTTGAGCATCTATTCTTGTACGGGTAAGAGTTGCTCACTTCACAGAGACATATGCGACCCTGGACCACAAAACCAGTCATAAGGGTCAATTTTTTTAAATTTCCATTGATGTATGGTTTGTTATGATAGGACAATATTTGGCCGAGATACAGCTATTTGAAAATATGGAATCTGAGGGTGCAAAAAAATCAAAATATTGAGAAAATCGCCTTTAAAGTTGTCCAAATGAAGTTCTTAGCAATGCATATTACTAATAAAAAATGAAGGTTTGATATATTTATGGTAGGAAATTTACAAAATATCTTCATGGAACATGATCTTTATTTAATATCCTAATGATTTTTGGCATAAAAGAAAAATGGATAATTTTGACCCATACAATGTATTGTTGGCTATTGCTACAAATATACCCCAGCAACTTAACACTGCTTTTGTGCTCCAGGGTCACATATTATGGTGCAACACTGTTTGCAAATTCATTCTGAAATCTGAAAAAGGCATTTTTTTCTCACTGCATTTCTACTTGGGAAACACATCAGTCTAGATCATGCCTGTAATTTACTGTGACTCTCACCTGACTACAGGCTCGGGAATGGCTTCCACATTGGCTGGCACCTGAACACCCTTCTCCCATTCCTGCCTCCAGGGGTCGGATAGGAAATAAAACTCCTCTGGGCTCAGTTGTGCTGAATCAGGCAACTTCATGGCTGTAATAAAATCGGTCCGAAACACCTGAAAGAACAGAACATTGGCAACATTCAACAAGAAACAATCCCTTCTCGCTCTGGTGACATTTTCACTGGCGCCGAGGCAAGAATTAAATACTTTGCCATGTTTTAGAAAGCAATTTTTGTGCCAGAAAGCAAAATATATGAAATACGAAACACTCAAATATGAATGAACACATAATATGAAATATTAAGATGTCATCACAGAAGACAATCATACAAACAACTGCTGTTAAAAGTTAAATTGTAAAACGTTAAAATTTCTGAGCGGGTGACTTGCCAAGAAAAACACCGTAGGGTGTTACGTGAGTTTATCCAGTGGTGTGTGAAAAGTCAGTGCTGTAAGCACAGTGCAAATGTGGTTTTAAATCAGACACATATTTAATATGTAAACATCTGCAGTGTTGGGGGTAATGCATTACAAGTAACACAAGTAACGTAATCAGATTACTTTTTTTCACGTAACTAGTAAAGTAACACATTACTTTTTAACTTACAAGAAAATATCTGAGATACTTTTTCAAATAAGTAAGTGACATGTATTGACTGACCGCTCTCCTGTCCTCATGTTGAGAGAAATCAGGAGTAAGTGCAGAGGCATTGTGTGAACATGATCTTACTGTAGTTCTAGACTAGATGTGAACATGCATTTACTCATCTCACTGCACAAAAACAGATTCAGGATTCCTCAAAATGAATTAAAAAAATGAAATGCAAAACTTATGTATTTAATCCCATTTTATTAACAAATGTCTTTGCTGCTGGCCTTTGATGATCCAATGCAACCATACTCATAAGCAAAAATTGACTTCAGATAAACATAACATTTGGGTTTCTTTCTTTTTAAAAAAAAAAAAAAAAAAGTGTTGAGCTTACTGAAGAGTGTTCTTGCGTCCTATTCTTCATGCAATACAGAATGGCATGAGCTGCGTCCTCTACTGTACACACGTGAATTTTCATTTTCTACAGCCTGACATGTTTTCATTTCACTTTTGTTGTGAAAGGGCTTTTACATTTGCCAGAAATATAACTTTTTTTACATTAAAAACAAATAAGCAAGCCCAGCCCAGATAAGAAAATGTAACGCAAAAGTAACGTAACTTTACTTTCCATAAAAAGTAACACAACTAGTTACTTTTTTTAGGGAGTAAAGCAATATTGTAATGCATTAGACCGACTTTTAAAAATAAATTTCCCCAACACTGGACAGCTGACCTTCAGCTAAACGCATATCTGATTCCCATTGGAAACAAACCCAAGCCATCACAAGACGAAGGAGACACATTTATCTACAAAGCTAACTTTTCTTAATGTCGTGTTATGAAGCAGACTCAGAGCTTCAGTCTATATAGAAACGCCACACAGATCCACATGCACCGTCTCTTTCTCAAATTCATTCAAAACAATCGTGTTTTAAATGAATGTAAATAGGCGGGACCAAAAATTGGATCTGAAAATATCAAGAAATTACATTTTGATTAAAGATCACAAAGTTAGAAAAATTACAACTACTACAAGTATTATCAACTAACTGTACAATCACATAAATCATACAATATTGCAGCAATTCTTAATGGCTTAATTGTTTATATCGTCGTCAAATGTAAACTATCCTATCGCCCAGCTCTAAATTGCTAAATGATAAATAAATTAATAAATAAATAAATAAATTGATTCCGTCTCATGCGCTGGGGTGTGCACAATTAGTATACAACTAATTGTTGTTTTAATGATGTGTGAGCTGACATTATCAAGTATGCATGAGTACATGCAAAAAACAAACAAAAACACGTCTTTAAATCACTGACTGCGTGATGAAGCCTATTAGAATGCAGTTTGAATGGCCCTATATTTCAAGTTACGAAAGAAAAAAATATCCCTGTATGGGTTTTGTTTTTTATATTTATGATATAGTAAGATACAGCAATAGCACACAAGCAAGAGTGCTGTTTTCCCGAATATCAGCGTGTGAGCGCAATCGTGAATGTTGTACTGATTTCATACAGCAGTTCACCAAACGAGAAGTTAATGTTGAGTGAGCTACATTTTAGACACAATATTGTCTGTTTTTATTGTTTCACCAGTGAAAATAGTTCCAAACAAAGCTGGATTAGAACGTTTGTGCATTTCAGCACAACACTACAGTGTTACATTCCTGAATGAATTTGTTTTTGAATCATTTGAGTCAGTGATTCAATGATCCATTCATAAAGACAGTCACTTGCTTCATTTCAGTGAATTAATCTTTTGAATGAGTGATTCAATAAATCACTCATTAAGACAAGGACTTGCCGCCACCTACTGGTGGTTTTAGTGTGATATTTATTTATCCATGAAAGGCCTAAATCAGTCAAAGTACCAGCACAAAAAACACACTCGGCAAAATATTGTTTAATTATCATTATCTTAAAAAATAAAAAAATATTGAGATATAATTTTTTCCTGAATATCGCACACCCCTACCATCCACCCAGTTCAATAATGCATTGTTTATTTTTTATTTCTTACTAAAAATGCTGACTTTAATGCATTAGCGCATCTGCCAGAGCAGTTAAGTTCTGGTGTATATTTGTGTTTATTGATGAAGCAGTATTTCTCACCTCAGACGGTTTCTTCTGCTCATGGCGTACCCATGTGCTGCTGGTCCCTGTGTTCTTTGAAGACCGTGACCAGGTGGTCACATGACCTGCAAGAGATTGAATACCAAATGAGAATTCTGCCATCGTTTACTCGTCCTCATGTTCTTCCAAACCTCTATGACTTTTTTTATGGGTTTGAAATGGAAGCAAATGATGTGAGCACAATTTGTGAGTGAACAAAATACAAATATAAATACACTTAGACAATCCTAGATAAACACCTGAAGGTATAATTTCCACTTAAGGGCAAAGTTGAAAAAAATTTAATAATTTTTTTATTAATAATTCAGGTCATTAAAATGTATTTTGAAAGATGATTTCATTCTCTTGTGTAATGTGTGTTATTTAGCACAGAATTGTAAGTTGTTGATTAATTGTTGCTTTAACCCTAATTAATCTCTAAGGCCTCTAAATGATCAAAACTTTGCTGATAAACCGGTTGCACACAATCTACTACATGCCTGTTGTTGTCTGATTGATTAGTTTAATGCCTTTTAGCACAATCCACCTGGTTCATGTGTTTAGTTTTTTTGCCATGAAATCTTTACTGAGTTTTATAAAATAAACGTAAGAATATCTCTGTTAGCAATTTCTGAAGATGAACACTTACTGAAGCAGCTTGGCTTTACTTGATTATCCAGACATCATTTTTTTAGAAAAATCAGCGAGTTTCAAATACGATCATCAGGATTTTGACGAACATTTATCTGTTCATCTCCAAATCATCATCATCATATTGCACTGCTTTGCATGTTTTGAACTTTTAAGCATTAAATATCCTCTTGCCAATACATATTGGCAGATACATAGCGACAGCTGATATTTATGTACAGTTAGTAGTCTGCTATCCTGTTATAGAGATCTCATTTCATCTTACATTTTGTCCAAATATCATAATCTGCACTAAATTGCATAGTTTTTCTCAACTGGGGTCTCTGCAAATTCTCACTATTTACTACTTTGTTATATTTGATCTTTATCTGTAAAGATGTTATGCAGTGGTGAGAAGCCGTGCGTATGAGTTTATCACTCACTGTCGGTGGTGTCCGAGTCGTTGCTGCTGGTGGAGTATTTCCTCCTCTTCATCTCATTCTCCATCTGTCAGCAAAGAAGGGATGAACAACTATCAGACTCTGAAAAGATGGCAGAAACGCATGCTGGAAGCTCAGTGTGAAAGTGTGATGGTAGAAATTAATGAATCTAGAGTTTACAAGAGACTGAAAACCCCATTCGCCGATGCTGCCTTCACTCCACATAGGGGCGATTTGGGAAAATAATCTAACTGCTATATTCCTGATATAATATTTTTACTTTGCCATTATGGGGTATGGATTGTAGATGTGCAAAAAAACATAATTTAAAGCAGTTTAGCATAAGGCATTTTGTCACATAAAATGTGACAAAATGAAGGGGTCTGAATACTTCTGGAAGGCACAGTAAACGAACATATTCTGTGTTTCTGATTCTGGTTTATAAATCAAAGCATCATCTCTCTGGGTGAGAACACTCATCCGCTCGTCGTCCAGGTCTGTCAGATGGGCTCTGCTGCTAAACACTGACAGCTATTGACAGTAAACATCAGGACCACATGCATCCCTCACAAACACTGAAGCTGCAGCACTAAGAACTCGCGTTCTACTGACTATGTTACGGGTGATGGGAACATCAGAGCCAGAGCTCCCACATTCATGAATAACCCCCTCATACGAGAAACACACACTGTGACCATGTGACCGCCTGGCCTCCTCCTCCACCAATCACACGGCAGATGACAAACACACTTTATATGGATGTAGCTGCTCCGCGAGATTCAATATTGTTAACTTGAGCACATTAAAATTTACATGGCAAAGAACCCAACGTATTTAGTGCCAAACACAAATGTTTTCTGTGCGTCATGATAGTCTAGTGGTGTAAAATTATACTGTATATGCTTCAAATTCAGACATAAATATAAAACATGCATTTTTACAATGGACCTAGCTAAACTGCCCTGCATTTTATGCATGCATACATATATATATGCATTTTTATATTATTTTATTTAACAGCAGAACTGTCTTTTTGTTTCATGGGGGGAAAAAATCCAACCCTTTTACATTTATACACAGTGCCTTGTGAAAGTATTCGTACCCCTTCATTTTTTTCACATTTTGCTTTTGTTTTGTCTCAAGATGCACACCAGTAATGTTTTTTTCTAAGGCATGTTTATAAAAATGACTTGAATGTCCTAATTGAACTATGGCCTAATCCTGGCTTAGTCTAAACCCTGTCTGTGAAACCAGGCCTTTGAGTTTAAGTTAATCTGTGGCAAATTCAATTGAAAGGGTAAGATCTGGAAAGGCACACACCCCTAAGGTCTAACAGTTAAACACATATCAGAGCAAAAACCAAGCCTGTAGAGCTCAGAGACGAGATTGTGTCAAGACACAGATCTGGGGACTAGGCCTGGGCGATAAAACGGTATCGATATTTATCGACGGTACACCACCTTCGATAACGATAGAAAAAATGTTCGATATGGCACATGATATAGGCACGTGCTATGAGTGACGCAGACAGCACACACAAACACGGACATGAGTGCTGTGCCTGCCTGTGATGAGGAGATTGTGAATAACGAACGAATATTAGTCTAATTTAAAATAAACATTTGCATTTGAATGTTAGGTGTGCATCAGGGAGCGTCATCAGTGGCGCGCGAGATGCGGTGATGATGATGTAAGTGACGTTGTTGCATTTGAATGTTTTGTTAGTCTAGCCCACGAGACGCGCCGCTGCTGCGTTATTCATTCAAAATATTAGAGAAATATAGAAGCTCAATGCGGAGAAGATCTTGAATGGGTTAAAACTGAAACCAAGCCATTCACACAGAACTCATTTTTTAGACGGACAAATATGACTGCTGCACTCGAGTCACACAAGAGATGTAGCCATGCAAAGTTAAAACTTTTAGAAAACACGTCGCGAATTTGTGGAGGTTTATTCCTTTTCACTGCGTCTCATGATTTTAAATGCAGTCTGTGTGAATGGCGCTTCGGCTCTTTGGATTAAGCAATGCATAAATACATGATGCTGTTTTGTTCATAATCGTTTATGCAATTTACGAAATTATATTAGATTTTTATGAGTTAATTTAGACGTAATGCACTGTTTTTATAGACAGTTATTTCCTTGCGTTTACAATTTAAATGCGCTATTATTTTGCTCATTGCGCCCTCCTGTGGCTTCGGGAGACAAGACAAAAGTTTCCTTAAGACCAATTTAATCTGCATATAAAACATTAGAAATTTGTTTAATTTTTATTTTGTGTTTTGATTGTTAAAACAAAAAATATTTGTTGTTCGTCTCAATAAATTGGGTTAATTTAAAAATACAGTAGTTAAATTTAAAAAAAATTCTATTGCTCTTTGTTTTCAAAAAGGTTATAAAAAATGTCAATAATTATCGATACCGAATTATATGAAACATTATATCGTTGATACATTTTTTTAGCTATATCGCCCAGCCCTAGGTCAAAAGTAATCTAAAAGTAATCAACAAGTAGTCTGATTATATTACCTAAAATGTGTAACGTAATGGATTACGTTACCAACTACAATTTTTATCATGTAATTTGGATTTTGGAATCAGTAACGGACTGCAATTTGTAAGTGATCTACCCAGCAGCACTGATGCCAGCCCACATGAAAAAATACTATAGTAATTTATAGTAAATAAATACTATAGTGTTTTTGAACCATACTATAGTAAAGTATTTTAATTAATTTGTTGTGGTAATTATATAGTTGCTGTGGTAACTATAGTAATATAAACAAATTACTGTACTAAGCTTAGTACAACTATAGAGTATATTATACTACAATACACTACAGTTTACTGTAGTACAAACTAAAGCATACTATTACAGTTTATCAGTTCACTATAGTTAATCCTACAGTATGCTGTAGCATTAATTAATAAAGTGTTGTAAATACTATAATATATACAGTATTATAATACAATTTATTATAGTATGGTTCAAAAACACTGTAGTATTTACTATAAATTACTATAGTATTTTTTCATGTGGGGGTGCTATGATCTACGGTTTGATCTACAGCACTTGAGAGCACTGCATGACATTTGATATCAACTAACCACATGCATTCAGACCCGTTCATTACCTGCAATGGCAAACTAGATTAGTAAAACAGTTCCATACACTGCTGGACTGAAGAGAAACATGCTTAGTCCCCGCCCCTCGAGCGCAGCCACGCCTCCTCCGCGTGACGTCACGCCCCAGTGTGCCGTGAGCAGCAGCAGACTGTAGGGGGCGTGGCAGATGACCCGCAGGGTGTTTGTGAATCTGAAGCATGCTAGGCCAGCATTCAGTGCTCATAACTTAGCATGCCACTAAAACAAACCACTGATTAGAGTTTAAACAAACGATGTGTGTTCAGGTTCAGCGCACTGCACTTTCAAAATAACTTTTTTTTTGCAGAGTACAAGAACTAACGTTACAGTTGCACAGAAGAGTTTATCAATATGACTGACAGATCAAAAACAAGACAGGTTTGCAATGGCATCAATCTCTGTAGAATTTAACGTTATATAGAATTACGCTCATCTGGAGCTCAAACACCCATTCTGAGAAGATGGCACGCGTTCTTTAGCTTTACCTTATCTGCAGTTTGCACAAGAGGGATGTCCTCGATGCACAGAAATCAGGGGAGCATCTGAGGCCAGGCACATGTAGATGAATTTCCCCTCCACAGCCAGAAATAAAAGTTACTGTCGGCGGATTGAATCCACAGCAGCGCCCATCCGACGCCGTTATCCGTCGACTTCGCCAAATCGCAAATACGTTACACTTATTACGGCAACGGTGATCGGTTCGCCATCCCCAAAATTGTTTTGGAGAAAAAAAGCGTTTCCTCAGAATCCTGCAAAGTGAAGCGCACTAGCGCGACAATCCATTGCGACCCGCGTTTAAATTTCGTTTATGTCTAGTATGGCGTTCCATATTCTGTATATTTGTCGCCTGCGTAAACAAGACCGGCTGCGGCGAGGCATCTCTCAAGCTAAAGCAACATAACAAGCTCACACTTATAACTCTTTTGGCGCCATATTAATGACGTACCAAAAATTTCCGTTAGCAGCGAGCGAAGAAACCCCCGTTATTGCTCGGAAGCGTCACGTACGGTGGAGAAAAACGCGAAGAGAACGCGTTGTGTTACCTGTCAAGTTCGAAAATGTCCATCAAGAAGCGAGCGTGAATAAGAAAGTCAGCGGCGTCTCCTCAAATGAGTGAACGGGGCGGTTCGCTAAATAATCGAGCACTTTACAGTGAGTCCGGTGGGGGGAGCCGTGGACAAACGCGGAGGAGGAAATGCTGTTTATGACATCTTCAGCTCTCGCTCAAGCGAGCAACTTTGCTGGGGTTCGATGCGTAACACTTCATGTTTAGAACACAAACACGTGCCAAGTTTCTCACGAGGGAACGTTCTACAAAGTCACGTGTGCTTCAGACAAAACAACAACTGTAGCTCGGCTGAAGAGGAGGAATGAGGGGCCCCAAAACATACCTGGACCCACAAATATCAATATATTCAAGTGGCATTTATTAAAGAATCACACTTTTCGAACATGATATAAAAAAAACTGATCTAGTCAGTGTTGTGGTTCTCTGATGTGGTTCTTCTGCAGTGTGAACCTGAGAACTAACTTCACACATACACTGAAAAACCACCAAAACACCAGCCGAGTCAGTGCTGAGAAAGCTGTTGCACAGGCCTGTGTGTGTGTGCGTGTGTGTGTGTGTGTGTTCGTGTGTGTCTGTGTGTGTGTGCGTGTGTGTGTGTGTGTGTTCGTGTGTGTCTGTGTGTGTGTGCGTGTGTGTGTGTGTGTGTTCGTGTGTGTCTGTGTGTGTGTGCGTGTGTGTGTGTGTGTGTTCGTGTGTGTCATGCATGTGTGTGTGTGTTCATGTGTGTGTGTGTGTGTGTATGGGTCAAAGACGTTAAGATATCCACATCAAAAGAAATTAACTAAAGTGATTTTATGTCCATAGAAAGCACATTACATGTAAGTAAAGTGTCTACTTTTAAGTTTTCAAATAAGTTTTTGGAGAATAAAATGTTTTAAAGCAGTATTGTTTTTATGCTTAATCCCTTTTTAGTTTTTGACCCGTATACATAAAAATGTTAAATAATTACGATTTTTTAATGTTTTTGAAAGGTCTTTTCCGCTCACCAAGGCTGCAAAAAACAGCATATATTATGATATATATTTTTGCAATCTAAAATATATAGAAAAGCGTAATTCATTCCTGTGATGCGCAGCTGTATTTCCAGCATCATTACTCCAGTCTTCAGAGTCTCATGATCTTCAGAAATCAGTATAATATGCTGATTTGCTGCTCAGTTATATTATTAATATTGCCATTTCTATTGGCATAACATTATTATAACTTATGATATTTATAATAGCAATTAAGCTCCCCAAGCAAGGGGTTTAAATAATATATAGTTGGATATTATTCAACACACTTGTTTCATTTCCACTCCTTTCTGCATCCCTTTAAACAATAAGGACAATATATTGTCATATTAAGAATGTTGATGGTTAGAAATAAATCTGAGTCATTGGTTTGCATCTCTGCATCCCAGCATGAAGACCTGCCTCTTGTTGCTTTGAAGCGTTTGAGTGATGCAGCAGTCAGAACCGCTTCCTCGACTATAACCATATGACTCATATTAGACTATAATAATGGATGTTGTAAATAATCTTTCTCTTGAGGACCACAATCTTGCAGCTGAAGCACATTTGTGTTCCAAATTATAGCGTTCGCCTGACCAAGCAGACGACTCATCAGATTTTTCCCCTAAGTCATATAAAACATGCCATTATTTTGCCATAGCAATCTGTTTTATCGTGAAAAGAGGGGCAAGGAACGGTAAAACTATCACACAAATGATAATAATTATGTGACATGCATATGAAGCAACATGCAAACACATGAATATCTGATTTTTATATTAAACAGTCACATAATGAAGCATGTGGAAAATTGATTTTCATAGGCCTTGTCAATGGTGGTGCTATATATATATATATATATTTTTTTTTTGTGCAAATTTAAAAAAAAAAGCAAGTCTGTGAGGGATAGATGCACACACTGTAAAAAAAAATCAGTAAAATTTACGGTAAAAAAACGGCAGCTGTGGTTGCCGGAATTTTACCGTAAAAACAACGGTAGCAACGTTTTAGGTTTTACGGTTTTAACTTAAATTTACAGTAAAATACCGTAATTTCATTAATTGATATAATGTTAATATACCATCCTATAAACATTAATTTAACAACATTAGGTGCAACACACAACCCTAATATACAAACCTGATAAGAAAAAACTATAGTTATTTCAACAAAAAAACATCAAATTTGAAATGTAACGCAGGGAATTCTGGGAATGTCGATTTACGGTTATTCACTTACAAAAACGGTATACTACCGTAAAATTAATGTCCAATACATGTAATGTCCAATACAGTTTTCACCTTATATAGTAGCGGAATTTACCGTTTAACAGGTTTTTACTGTAGCATTTTTACAGTCTTTTACCGTTAAATTCACGGTCATTTTTTACAGTGCAGTGTTGTTGTGCAGCAACTTTGAAAATGCATGTTTCTAAAAAAAAAAAATGTCCTGGTGATGTAAAACAAGACCTTAAACAGGATAGTGCACACAAAAATACTAATTCTGTCATTGTTTACTCACTCTTCCCTTTTTTTTCTTTTGCTGAACACAAAAGAAGATATTTCAAAGAATGTTGGGAAACAAAACAGTTGACGGTAGCCATTGACTTACATTGTAAACACTGCATGCAAATTGTAGTTCCATTACAATTACACTTTTTTTTACACTTTTTGATTACTTTTGCCCTAACTCATTGATCACATTGATTTAATCTTGTACCATAGGCCTACTGATATAAAAATACAACGAGAAAGAAAATATATTCGTTATGCATTAAACATTACATAAATAATTTTAATATACCAACAATCAAAATAAAATACTCGCTAAAAAGATATCATGTGACCATTAACCAATGACAGCGAACCTTGAAAATGCACATTTGTTAATTATTATAACATAAGGCCTACCTAAAATCTCTTTTTAATATATTTCAAGTAAATATATTATGGTGAAAGAATTCAAAAACTAAAAACCAACATAGGCTCATTGTAAATACATGCCTCTACCTATACATTTCTGCAAAACACAAAAAACTTACTTATACATACACTGTAAAAAAAAATCAGTAAAATTTACGGTAAAAAAACAGCAGCTGTGGTTGCCGGAATTTTACCGTAAAAACAACGGTAGCAACGTTTTAGGTTTTACGGTTTTAACTTAAATTTACAGTAAAATACCGTAATTTCATTAACTGATATAATGTTAATATACCATCCTATAAACATTAATTTAACAACATTAGGTGCAACACACAACCCTAATATACAAACCTGATAAGAAAAAACTATAGTTATTTCAACAAAAAAACATCAAATTTGAAATGTAACGCAGGGAATTCTGGGAATGTCGATTTACGGTTATTCACTTACAAAAACGGTATACTACCGTAAAATTAATGTCCAATACATGTAATGTCCAATACAGTTTTCACCGTATATAGTAGTGGAATTTACCGTTTAACAGGTTTTTACTGTAGCATTTTTACAGTCTTTTACCGTTAAATTCACGGTCATTTTTTACAGTGCAGTGTTGTTGTGCAGCAACTTTGAAAATGCATGTTTCTAAAAAAAAAAAATGTCCTGGTGATGTAAAACAAGACCTTAAACAGGATAGTGCACACAAAAATACTAATTCTGTCATTGTTTACTCACTCTTCCCTTTTTTTTCTTTTGCTGAACACAAAAGAAGATATTTCAAAGAATGTTGGGAAACAAAACAGTTGACGGTAGCCATTGACTTACATTGTAAACACTGCATGCAAATTGTAGTTCCATTACAATTACACTTTTTTTTACACTTTTTGATTACTTTTGCCCTAACTCATTGATCACATTGATTTAATCTTGTACCATAGGCCTACTGATATAAAAATACAACGAGAAAGAAAATATATTCGTTATGCATTAAACATTACATAAATAATTTTAATATACCAACAATCAAAATAAAACACTCGCTAAAAAGATATCATGTGACCATTAACCAATGACAGCGAACCTTGAAAATGCACATTTGTTAATTATTATAACATAAGGCCTACCTAAAATCTCTTTTTAATATATTTCAAGTAAATATATTATGGTGAAAGAGGATCGGCTGGCCAAAAAAGCATTTTCATTTTTTGGTCAACTGTCCCTTTAAGACAGCACCAGCTACTGACTGTATCCCTCACAGCCTCGCTTTCATTTGAGGAAAGTTTAAATGTATGATGATGACGACACCAACTCACGCTTACATAAATATATAATAAAAGGCGGATGTTGTTTTCCGCGGCACTGTACGTGACACGTTCGTGACGCTAGGTGGCGACGTGTCCCTTTAAGTGCGTCCGTCACGAACGGAAGAAGAGTGACGTCACCGCCCCGACGCAAACATGGCGACTACGGACGTGGAAGATTTCATCGGACAGAACAGGCAGCTGTCGGATTTAGTCGAGACGTTTCGGAGCGTTTCCGAAAGCGAAAAACACTGGAAGAGCAGGAGGGAGTTTATATTCAGAAACATCAACGATTATGAAGACCCTCACCTGGACCAGCTGCTCGCTCTGTCTATGGTGTGGGCGAACCACGTGTTCCTGGGCTGCAGGTCAGAATAAAAGCACTTTACATCATCACAAACATCTGTGACCCTGGCGCACAAAAGCAGTGTTAAGTCGCTGGGGGATATTTGTAGCAATAGCCAACAATACATTGTATGGGTCAAAATTACATTAAGCAGCAAACTATTTATTATTCTGAGAACACTACAAACCATTATTATTATTATTAACTGAGCGTCAATAATAATTGAGCAGCATATCAGAATGATTTCTGAAGATCATGTGACACTGAAGACTGGAGTAATGATGCTGAAAATACAGCTGCGCATCACAGAAATACATTACAGTTTAACACATATTCACATAGAAAACAGTTATTTGGAATTGTAATAATATTTAATAATTTACTGTTTTTACTGTACAAATGTCTCATTGAGAATAAAATATTTATTGCATTTTATGCACTAAATACTTCTATGACTATCATGTCAAAAGCAGCTAACCTCTTGATTAAAGGTTCAAGTTCAGTTTTATTTCTAGAGCACGTTTAAGCACGGAGCAAGGCCGACCAAAGTGCTGCACGCCAAACAGTAAAATACAATAAAAAGAGAAATAACTGCTGTTGATTGATCTGATTTCAGGGATTGCGTAGACTCTACAGCTGTGTTGTGCCTCTTGGTTTGTAGGTATGATCCGGTGCTGCTGGAGAAGGTGAGTGAGATGGCAGAGGGGATCGTTGTGGAGGACGCTCCTGTTTTTAAGACCAGAGATGAACTGATCAAACAGCAGCAGCAGCAACAACAGAAGGTACACGGTCCTGCTATCATCCACTCTGTCCTTCACTGAAGCGTGTATTATCTATGCCTGACACTATACGGCTGTTACCAATCGGATGAAATCAGCATCAACAACATTTGGGTTTGCATTGCAGAGGTGGCACAGAATCTGCATCTGAAGAGGCATTTAGATGCATTTACACTGACTGATTAATGCAGGACATGAATGCATTTAACCTGCAGTCACAAATGCATTAATAATGTCTTGATGTTAAAAAAAAAAAAAAGTTTCTGCAGATTTTATGAAGGTAAATTTAAGACTTGAAGACCAATTAATTACTACAGAAGCAAAAGTCTTGTTTTCTTTGAAACTGATCAAAATGAAGCGAGTTTATGATTGAAACGAGAACAAATATCTACCGCTTGGCTCAGAAAAACCCACTTAATTCAAAGGGAAAACGACTTTTCATACCCCATGTTTGTTCTTGTTTTAAGCATAAACTCACTTAATTTCCTTCAGTTTCTCAGAAAACGAGACTTCATGTGTTCAGTTTGCATCTCGAGTGAATGCATGTTGATTTAAGGATGTTTAGATGTTTGTATTGGAAAACAAAACAAAAAAAATACGGAGACAGATATTAATTTTTGAAATGCATGCAACATTTCATGTGGAAGGGCGAATTAAGAATTAAGATCAGCGAGTCTGTAGCACTGGCCAGTTTTGCACAGACAAGCAGCGCTAATCATTTACTTCTTTTATAGCTGGAGAAAAGGAGGAGGAAACATGATAAAATGCCTAGAAAGAAAGGCATTTGTGATGAATGATGAAGCATGTGTTGAAGCCTCGCACGGGATGCATAGAGCGAAATGACTGACCCAAACATAATTAAATATATTGCAAATAATCTGTTCTGTCTTTTCTGCAGAGGTGACGCCTGCACGCCTCGTGTTGTTTTAGCAGCATCATCATTACATCCGATGAAGGAGCCTGAGATCTGTGGATCATCACCATTCGAGTCACACCAACTTGTAATAACGTCTAGCTTGTTTTATCCCTAGCTGTACATATGACGACCTGTTTTTTAAATGCTTTTCTATTATGCATGTTTTAATAACTAGCTACAATAAAAACGAACGCATTCTCTTCGCTCCAAGTCTGAAAATTTTTTTATTTCTCGATTTACACAGCATATTAGAAGTATAAATGTTCAGAAAAAATTAAACTGAAACGTCCCCTTAACACTGTGATCCGAGCGTGTTCTCTCAAAACTCATCGCTGGAACATGCCCTCGTTTTATTAAACACGCGAGCGTCGAGATGCATCGTCAAATACAGATACAAAGTCGATCTTCAGGTGCATTTAAAGGAATGTCATCAGTTTTCAAATATATTAATGATGGCTTGCTGAAGACTTTGAGATGGACATATTTAGGGATTGCACTCTTCGCCGATCATTTGCATTCAACTGCATCAATCTGACAACAGTATGATTCAGATTTTGTTAGCAATAACTTATCATGCAGTTAAAAGGAATAAATAAGCACACACATTTTTGTAAAATGCATTGGCAAAGAACTGAATAATCCTATGAGTGTTTGTGGTGTGTAGTTGCGTTACGAGTCGACCCAGCTCTGCTCCACGATGGCAGACACTCTCTTCTCATATTCACGTTTGTTCTCCTGATAGAGCTGAGCTGCTTGACTGTTGGCTGGGCTGTTTGGATTGGGCTCGTCTAATAGAGACTAAAAACACAAGTCTGGATCTCACAACACTGTTCAAGAATCATACATGCAGCTCATATTTCACCCACAAAGACTCATTAACTCGTGTTTGTCAGCGTAAAATTAAACAGAGGACAAAAATGGTCATACAAATATTAAACATTATTCACTGGCAGATCTTTTTAAAAACTAGGCATCAGATATTCATGCTGCAAGAATCGCTGAAGCTGAAATAAGTTGTACAAAGTGTTGTTATACTGTAACGCACTGCAAAAAATGCTTTTCTTACTTAGATTTTTTTTGTCTTGTTTCCAGCCAAAATATCTAAAAATTCTTAAATCAAGAAGGATTTTCTAGACAAGTAAAAATTGTCAAATAATAATCTGCCAGTGGGGATTATTTCAAACAGAAAACAAGATTATTTTGCTTGTTTCAAGCAAAAACTGATATGTTTTTTCTGAAAACGAAAATTTTTACTTGTCTAGAAAATCCTTGATTTAAGAATTTTTAGATATTCTGGCTGGAAATGACAAAAAAAATCTAAGTAAGAACTATACTTTTTTTTTTGTGTGTGTTCGACTAATTGTATTTAAATGTTTTAAACAGATTAAAGCACAAAAGAATTGTAAAGAACAATTCGTAATGCTTTACAATAAAGTCTCATTAGTAAACATCAGTTAATGCATTAACTAACATTAACAATGAGAAATAGTTACTTTTGTTACAGAAGTTGTTAACGTTAATTCAATAAAATACAGCTAAATTTTGTTAGTTGTTAGCTCGGGTCCATTAAATAATAGTTACTAATGTGATCAGAAGTAGTTTTCATAGTCAGTTAACTTATTAATGAATTAATGCTAGCATTACAGCGGTGTTGATGGGAAAAGTATTCATAAAATACATTCTAAAAATCTGAATAATAAATCATTATTCACTATATTTTGTAGTGCCTTCGATAACAATATCATGCATGTTTATTATTGTGATATACTGTATTTTTGTATATCGCACATGTGCATTACCAACACACAAATAGAAAAAATAGAAACAATGCAGATATACATACATGCACATGTATTTTAATCTAAAATATCGTTATTGAATAATAATAAAGTACACTTGTGAATAGAAGTGTAATAAGAACAAACCCATCATGCACCTGGATGGATGTCAGAATGGAGGAGACGTCATACGTGGGACTCCAGCGATTCTGAAGAATGTCTAAACATATGCTGCCATCTGCATAGACTGACAAACACAATATCATTCATCAGAAACACTGCAGACGTTGCATTACTCCACAACACGCTGGCAGCAGCTCACCATTTGGGTGAAACATTTTGGAGATGAAGCGAACCGTAGGAGGCTTGTTGGGATATTCTTCTGAAAACTCAATGACCAGCTTAAATGTTCCTGCGGAGAGAGAGAGATTTCAGATGAATACGAATAACATCGACACGACTTTCTGCAACCTCTTTGTGACACGGTCAGTAGATAAAATCATGTACATATGTGACCCTGGAGCACATAAGCAGTCTTAAGTCGCTGGGGTATATTTGTAGCAATAGCCAACAATACATTGTATGGGTCAAAATTATACATTTTTCTTTTATGCCAAAAATCATTAGGATATTAATTAAAGATCATGTTCCTTGAAGATATTTTGTAAATTTCCTACCATAAATATATCAAAACTTAATTTTTGATTAGTAATATGCATTGCTAAGAACTTAATTTGGACAACTTTAAAGATGATTTTCTCAATATTTAGATTTTTTTGCTCCCTCAGATTCCAGATTTTCAAATAGTTGTATCTCGGCCAAATATTGTCCTATCATAACAAACCATACATCAATGGAAAGCTTGTTTATTCA